GAAGCGTTCCCTAAAAACACACAAACTCATCCACAGTGGAGTTAAAGCGTACAGCTGTGATCAGTGTGGCAGAGCTTTTACTCAAAGTAGCAGCTTACAGAGGCATCTAGTTACCCACTCTGGAATTAAGCCATACAGCTGTGACGAGTGTGGGAAGGGTTTTACTGTGAGGGCTAAACTAAAACAGCATCAGGTCATCCACACTGGAGAGAGACCGTTCAGCTGTGACTTGTGTGGAAATTCTTTTTCCAGGAAGGGTTACCTAAAACAACACCAACTCATCCACAGTGGAGTTAAAGCGTACAGCTGTGATCAGTGTGGCAGAGCTTTTACTCACAGTAGCGGCTTACAGAGTCATCTAGTTACCCACTCTGGAATTAAGCCATACAGCTGTGACGAGTGTGGGATGGAGTTTACTCTGAAGGCTTCACTAAAACAGCATCAGGTCATCCACACTGGAGAGAGACCGTTCAGCTGTGACTTGTGTGGAAAGTCTTTTTCCTTGAAGGGTTCCCTAAAAAATCACCAACTCATCCACAGTGGAGTTAAAGCGTACAGCTGTGATCAGTGTGGCAGAGCTTTTACTGACAGTAGCAGCTTACAGAGGCATCTAGTTACCCACTCTGGAATTAAGGCATACAGCTGTGACATCTGTGGAAAAACTTTCAGCCAGAGAAGGAGCCGAAATACACACCTACGCATTCACAACAGACATGATGTGTACTGCTGTGAACAGTGTGGCAAATACTTTACAACAGACGCACAGTTACAACGACACATGTTTACCCACACTGAGGAGAGACCTTATCAATGTGACCTGTGTGAGAAGACTTTTAAAGCTCCACATGACCTGAGAGAACACCAACAGATCCACACCAGAAAGAGACTCTACAAGTGCAGCTACTGTGAGGTATGTATTTATATTGTTATCTTGTCATTTTAGCCTGACTGTTTGGAACAACTCTGCTCATTAAACTGTGTTAGCATGTTAGCAATTCTACTGCATGGAAAAGCAGCTCTGAGTGATTATTCAGATTTTCCTTTCAGTTATGATTTTAGTATTACTGTAGTATTACGGTGGTAGTATTGTAGTTATTGCAGCCCAGTAAACTGAGTGTGTTAACTGAAACAGTCAAATGTAGTTGGACGTCTGCAGAGATACTCTTTATTTCAGGCGACGTTCAGGATACAAATGTTGAAGGACTGACTTACACAGTCTTTGTGTCTTTGTTTAGAAGCAGAGCGACACAGATGGATCTAGTTCTCAACCCTGTCATCACTGTGGTGGTGGGAAAGACTTTCATTGTGACCTCTGTGGAAAAACTTTCAGTCGGCAAAAGACCCTAAAACTACATCAACGTAGACACACTGGAGACAAACTGAAATACTGCAAAGAATGTGGGAGAAGCTTCACCACATCAACTGACTTAAAACGACATGAACTGATTCACAGTGGGGTTAAAAAGCACCTCTGTGATCAGTGTGGGTCATCCTTCACCACTGCAGGTCAGCTTAAATCACACAAAGGAGTCCACACAGGAGAGAAACCACACAAGTGCAGACACTGTGAGAGAAGCTTCTCACGGTCAGATAATCGTAACATTCATGAACGTGCACACATGGAAGGAAACTACAGCTGTGACCAGTGTGACAAGAGCTTCAGGAATCTCAGATCATACTCTGCACACAAACGATCCCACGTTACTAATAAACTGTTTCACTGTTACCAATGTGCCCAAACATTCACCTCATTGTCTGCTCTGTGCAAACATCAGCGCGATCACTCAGGGCTGAACTCACTCCCATCACTGGATCACAGTGAATCTGAAGACACAGAAAGATCCTCTGGTTTCTGTGTCAGACTCAAAAAGCTTGAGATCAGGCTCCACAGAGTTCAGATAGAATCTCCTGTAAAAATCTGATGAGGCAGCTGTGAATCAAACTCTTCCCCTAGTTCCATTTTAAGCTTTCAAAACTGTCCTACTGTAGAGTTCATGTCAAGTGGTTAGATTTCTTTTCATCAGTTGGTTGAAAACTGTTTCCTATTATAAAGTTTTTGTTTTAATGTATTTTGATGCACATAAATGTTTTCTTGTTCAGGTTCTTTATGTTATTGAATCTTGCAAATGTTAAATAAAAAATTCAAATGTTAAATATCTTCACTGATGGTTTAAATAAACTGTCCTTTCAGCTTTAGCTCCTAATTTATTCATTATTTATGGATGTAGCACAGCAGCCGTCTCTTGATTAACACATGGAGGGCTCGGGATCTGATGGTGTCGTCTCCCTAATTTGCCCACTCAGTAAATCTCACTCATGGCCAAGAAATTGAAATAAACCTTGTTTCCCTGCTGGATAGTGATCCACTGTAACTCTGCTCCTCCTTCCTGTTTAGGATTTCTGTGGCTGAAGTAAAATTCCCTCCATCCATCACTTATCCCAGCTAACCCAAAGTGAAATAAAGTTTTGCTCGTCTTAAAAAAGCATTACAATAATGGGCATTACCAATGCAAACTGAATGATACAGAAGATGAAAGAAGAGACTTTGATCAGTTAATAAAGCTCATGATCTGGATTCATTGTGGCTGCTACACAGATACTTCTGGGTCACTTCTCTCAGTTAGGAACCTTCCTCACCAAACTGACTGTTGGACCACACCCCTGGTTTCATGAGAAATTGTTTCAGCCATGATTTCTCTTCCTGTATTTCAGAGTAAAGACTGAAGTGACAAATGGAAGCATGTTTAAAAACACAATGTGAGAGAGACGTTCAGGTCCTTAGAAGTTACCCTGGGTTTTTCTGTCACCCTGCTAGATGTTACACACCTTGTTATTGGACTGTTTTCTACTGCTGGACTACTCCTGCGGAGAGTAACAATACTCTTACTAATTAGCTTTCTGTATAATATTGGTGACGCTGAGCACGTTTCCAAGGCTACCGTCTGTCGGGCAGTCAGGAATGTTACAGTTGCACTGAAACGTCTCCTGTACTCGTTTGTGGTGTTCCCCGGTCACAGACCCACAAGATTGCAGGTATCAGGATGACCAAAACTTAATTCATGATGTGGTGATACTTGAACTACTACTTAAATTTTACATTTATTTTCACGGTTCCCAGGCGTGATTGGCTGTACAGATGGCACTCACATTCCAATCATTGCTCCTTCAGTAAATGAAGGAGACTATGTGAACAGGAAGTCTTTCCACAGCATTAATGTACAGGTACATAGTTCCCTGTAGCATGTCAAACTAACAAATTATTTCATTATAGTAATGGATGCTAATTTGTGTTCTCTGCACTGTGAAGATCATATGTGATGCTGCCAACATTATCACAAATGTGGAAGCCAAGTGGCCAGGCTCTGTCCATGACTCACAAATATTCCGTGAATGTACACTGAGCACAAAATTTGGACATGGTGAGTTGAGAATACCTTAAAATATATAAAGACCAATTGCTTCAGGGACATTTGAACTGAAGTATATCCTTCTGTCTTAGGAGAGTTCACTGGCTACTTGCTTGGTGATAGGGGGTATCCATGTTTACCCTATTTGCTTACCCCTTACTCTGACCCTGAACCGGGCCCACAGCAGTGATATAATCTGGCTAATTGCAGGACACGAGCCAGAATTGAAATGACTATCGGAATGCTTAAGGCCCGGTTCCAGTGCCTGCAAAGACTCAGGGTCACCCCAGAAAGGGCATGTGACATTATTGTGGCATGTGTGATTCTTCACAACATTGCCACAATTAGAGGAGAACACTGTCCTTCTGAACCAAACATCAGCAGTGATCCAAACCATGAACATCCTGACCCTCCCACGGACATACAAGATGGAAGAGCAGTCAGAGACACCATATGTCACAATCATTTCTTTTGACCCATCACCTCAACATGTTGAAAGAAGAATAAACTGATTTTTTGTTCAACTGGCTTTATTGGTCGCCTGTATTTCCTGTACACAAAGTATTAAAAGATGTAAACCTCATAAAGTGTCTCTGTTGCTTCCTCCTCTGTAACAGCTGTCAATGTTTCTTCATTATTTTCCTGTAGTAAAGAAATAAACAACATTGCTGTTCTACTGTAAACTCATATAATCTGTGGAGTATTACTCACAACTGCATGTTGGTCTGGCTCAACAGGAGGCTGCACCAGATGCAGTACACCACCACCATCAACTGATAGAATATGAGGTCTATACAGGTCACTTATAACTTACAAGGGACCAAATGGCAATTAACAAACATACCAATCACCTTACACTTCATTGTCATTATGCTCTCAAAGACAACCAAGACTGAGGGAAGGCAAAATCAGTAGGAAAATAACTTCACTACAAAATAATCCATTATGGTAAAGAGTTTATCAAATGAATGAGTAGCACTGCAAAGGTGACTGTGAAGAAAGGATGTATGCACATCATGTATTATTTTGAATTTACCCCCTATGTAGGCACTTGTGTCTTGCGGGGTTATTGACTCAGAGGATGTCCCCGCAGAGATGCCTTCGGCCACAGGGCGCCCACTGTTTTGGCTGAGGGCCAACTGCTGAGCCTCTGTGAGTGGTGGTGGTGGAGGACCCCCACCTGTTTTTCGGGCCTCCGCTTTTTTTCTGTTGGCTATAACGGGCCACATTTGAGCACACAGAGTAAGCAAATATGTACTTGTAATGTGCTCAGATAATTTCAATAAGTGCTTACAGAAAGGAAATTAATGTAGCCTCTAACTGCAATTGATTTACATGGACAAACAGACCAAGCACTATGGCTCATAATACAATTACACCTTACCTGTTTGGACTATATTTTTATATTTCATTTTTACTTGCTGCCAGGAACGTTTGGGGCCTGTTGGGTTGCACCTGTGCTCACATCACATCACAAAATAAAATGTATAAAATAACAAATAAAATAACATATGATAAAATAACGTGTTAAATGGGTGGAAATCCCTCGATCAATGTTTATATTAACACTCACGCATTGACTCTGTCGGAAGGATGCCGTCTGCAAGCAGAGCTGCTTGAACCTCAGCGCTGAGGTCCAGACTACTTCCTGTGAAGCCACGTGATGTAAATCTGCTGCTGTAACTTCACAGTTTACTGAAGCTAAATGCAACGTTACCATATAATCTGTTTTCAACAAAGGTTTCACTCCGTCCGGTGTTGATGGAATGATTCAGGCCGTACTCGTCAGGCTTCCCGTCGACCACACGCATTTCAGTCACAAACCCCGTGACTGACAACAAGGGAAACAGCAGAAGAAAAGATGTGAAAAATACTGGATGATGATGATGGAGGATTAACCGCGGTGGCTAAACTGTTTCCTGTCTTTGTGGGCGTACTCACAGGGAAGTTTCCAGGCACGTCAGTCTTGGTGGCTAAAGTCTCCATTTTCCAACATGTATCGCTACAGGTGCAAAGACACAACATTAATCATCAGTGTAAATATTTTAATGCTGTCCAAACGGTGTTTGCTTTGTCTGTCCTCTCGCACTCACAGAGGAAACGAGGACGCCACCTTCAACCCATCTTCAGTTGGCTCAACCATGGCCGGACTTCCTGTTGGCTTTGTGACAGCAAACCACTTGAAATGAGAGCAAACTGCAGTCAAGCACCACTTACAGCAACCTGTGGACACGCAAATGGAAAGCACTGAGAATCATACAGAAGCATAAGAGCTGTTTATTGTAACACGTGTGTGTGTGTGTGTGTGTGTGTGTGTGTGTGTGTGTGTGTGTGCGCACATTAATAATACACTGATGTATGTTAGTTTGATTTATGCTATATCTGAGAAAACAATTGCAGAATTTTACATCAAAGTTTCCAAAGCTGATGTTTTGTTGTTCACACTGTTTTATATTCATATATCTGTGAAGGTTCTCAGTCATCCAGGTCATCGTAGTCACAGGAGCTTGCAAAGAAAAGCGTCTGGACTTCTTTAAGTTACTTGAAGACGTTTCACCTCTCATCCGAGAAGCTTCTTCAGTTCTAAGGTCAAATGGTGGAGAGTCCCAGATATAAACCTAGTGGGAGTGACCCCCCACAGAGGGACAAAAGGACCCCCTGATGATCCTCTAATCACCTGAGCCAAGGTTTGAAACTGGGTGTGGGTCCCAATCAGCCAGAGTTTCGGGTGTGTTCATTGTGAAACCTGGCCCCACCTTATCATGCGAATTCCTGAGGTCAGATGGCCCAGGATGTGAGTGGGCGTTAAGGCGTCTGGGAGGGGATCTCAAAACTGGATTATAGATGGCAGAGAGTTGGTGTCGTAAACCCCGCCTCTGTTCAATGATGGTCGCTCACAGTGGACATAGATGGCTTCTTTCACTCCTCTTTCAAACCATCTGTCCTCTCTGTCCAAAATGTGAACATTGGCATCCTCAAAGAGTGTCCTTTATCCTTAAGATGCAGATGGACTGCTGAGTCTTGTCCTGTGGAGGTGGCTCTTCTGTGTTGTGCCATGCGCTTGTGAAGTGGCTGTTTGGTCTCTCCAATGTAGAGGTCTGAGCATTCCTCGCTGCACTGTACAGCAAACACCCCATTGTTAAGTTTGTGTTTTGGCGTTTTGTCTTTCGGGTGAACCAGTTTCTGTCTGAGCGTGTTGTTGGGTCTGAAATGCACCGGGATGTCATGCTTGGAGAAAACTCTCCTGAGTTCCTCTGATACACCAGCTGCATAGGGGATGACAATGTTGTTGCGTCTGTCCTTCTTATCCTCCTTCGCTGGTGTCTGGTCTTCTTTTCTGTGCCTCTTTGCTGACTTTAAAAACGCCCATTTAGGATAGCCGCACGTTTTGAGTGCTTCCTTTACATGTGTTTGTTCCTTCTTTTTTCCTTCAGGCTTAGAGGGAACATGTTCTGCTCGGTGGTGTAGGGTCCTGATTACTCCAAGTTTGTGTTCCAGAGGGTGATGGGAGTCAAAGAGGAGGTACTGGTCCGTGTGTGTGGGCTTCCGGTAAATTTCGATGTTGAGGTTGCCGTTCTCTTCAATGTGCACGGCGCAGTCCAGGAAAGGCAAACAGTTGTCCTTTGTGTCTTCCCTGGTGAACTTGATGTTCATCATCAACATATAAAGTCGTTCATAACAAACTGAAAGGCCAGGAGTTTAAAATGCAAACCGATGGAAGCAGCAGTAGAAGACTATAATGTCACAGAGCACACAGTGTCTATTATTGTGTAGACATTTATAAATAAGAGCTTAATAAAGATGCTTAATTTCTTAAGAAATAAACAGGTGGAGGGATCTTTATCAAAAGTGGATGTTGCATCTGTGGCTAAACCACTGTACCCAAAAACTTTAAAAATCTAGTGTGTGTGAGGCTGTGTAAGTAAAGCTTGCCCTTCACACCCGCGTGTAACAAACCATTTGTTGGGGGTTGTGGATTTGACACCTCAGCATTGTGAAAGTGGGGAAACATGTTTCTGGCTGTGCATAAGATTTCTGCTTACAACTTAGAATCTCAGTTCTAAATGAAATTCAGATGTTTTTTTAAGTATGGCTAATGTATTAATTGACTTCTAAGGCACACACACACACACGCACACGCGCGCGCACACGAACAACAACAACACCAACAAAGAGAAGCAGAAGAAGGGGTCGTTTTACTACGCATCATAAAAACGCAATCATTCATCTTCCAACTGTATCTTTCTGTTCTGTCTTTAGAATCATTGGTTTGTGACCTTCCTTCTGTGAGGGCACACACACACACACACACACACACACACACACACACACACACACACACACACACTTTTAAGTAGGCAATACGGTTACCATCATCCTGTCTGGTTTATTGAGTGGGTTGAGAACTGATACATAGACGACTGAATTAGTATTATTTTGGGGAACATGAGAGCAGGGTGATCAGAATCTTGCAGCCAGAGTTTAAATGAGTGAAACTGGCAGATTTTTGTTTTGTTTTGTTTTTGTTTTTGAAGTACGGGTGTTTTCTCACCTATAAGAGAAAGAACATTTTGTGACAAGTCCTAAGACCGGGCTTTTGTATTTTTTCTTTTTCCTTTTGTTTTTCAGTTTATTTGTCATTTTTCATTTTATTTTTGTTTTTTGAACAGTGCACTGATTTTTGTTTGTGGATTTCTTTTCTTTGGGCAGATCTGCACGTCGGGAATTGAAAGTGCTACACGTCGTCGGGAGGGCCGTTGCGGGTGGGTTTCTCCACATTAAAATGGGCTCTGGAGAAAGCCACTTATTGGGACAAGTCCCTGTCCAAAAAGGATTCAGCAATGTAATCTGATCTAAAGTTCTTCTTTACTTTTTGAAATGACGTCATTTTGCTGAGAGTGGAAACTAAATGCGACGACAGGTTCCACTATCAGCAAAGAAAGTAAGAATGGATGAATGAATGAATGAATGAATGGAAATAAAACAAACTGACTGACTGGTAAAAGCTGACTTAACACCATTGCGTGAAGTCAACCCCCACCTGACAAAGGTGTGGATGTATCTCTGTGTGTGTCTCTGTTACAGGAGCAGAAGGATGACAGCAACATCTGAGGTTGCGTGATGGTTTAACCTTTTAAATGCCATTTTTATGTTTGTGAATCTATCAGAGGTGTGTTATTCATGGGCTTGTGGTACTCACAGAAGTTACTGTGAGAAAGTGTGTACACACCTGCGCAGCGCTAACATTTGCATTTTTTCTACAGCATTGCAGTTTTTTATGTGATTTGATGATGTGGTTTTTAGCAGAACAATTGGTGGATGTTTGTTTCTTTATTACAGGTTTTGTTTTCTTTAAGAGTGCATGTAGCATTCAGCAGAAGTGGACAAGTGACATGAGAAAAACAAATAAGGGATGCAGCTTTTATGGAATATTTGAAGATGGGCTATTGAGCTCATAGTGATACAATGGGTGGAGTGACATTGTTTAAGGGAAGTCACAGATTAAATTGTGGAATAAATTGGGATGATTCATGATTTGGGACAAATTATGGTAATAATAGTGATTTAATGATTGGAGAGAACCTGCACATGATACTTGTCTGTTATGCTGAGTACTTTATCACTTTCATGATCTATAGTTGGTTGCAAATGTGAAGTTTGATTTAGATTGTTTTAGGGAGACTGTGCAACATTCTTATGCATGTCTCATTGGGGAGTTGACACATGGCGAAAGCCGTGTGGAGAGAGGAGTGTTATTTTTCAATTTGTAGATGTCGTGAGGTGCCAGAGGCAAAGTGGGTGTGGCTGAAGGTCTACAAACGAAAGTGGAACGAGCCCAGGTGGACGGGGGTCCATTCGAGGTGGAGACCAGGACCTCACACGCGGTCCGACTGAAAGGGAAAGGGGAAACCTGGTACCACTGGAGCTAGTGTGCTGTAGCGGAAGAGCCTAAGAGGTCGGAAAGGCTCTCTGCAAAGGAAAAAAGGGGGAACTCGGCTGAGACCCCCCTACATGGATCCCAGCCCAGGGACAGAATATCCTCTGCAGAAGATCCATGCAACGACTGAAGGGTAGTCTACCCCGGAAGTTGAAGAAAGAAGAGTAAGAGAGAATCACCCGACTCAGAAGATAAAGGTTTAAAAATAATAATAACAATAACGACGAAAACAAAAGTAAATAAAAAAAAAAAAAAAGACAAAACAAAAGAACAAGTGAGATTACATTGGACAAAAGCGATGAGAGAAATAACTAAAATGGGGTTATGGGGAAAGTGGAGAGCAATGGTAGTGTTAGGAGTGATAACTGTTGTGATTGTAACTGTGATTTTCTTGCAAGTGAATTGCCCAGAGACAGACCTGAATCCATTCCAGCAACTCCACCATCACAGGCCACGGTGGAGCGAACCAAACGTAGTGAAACAGGTAAATCAGATGAGTGTTTGGATTATTATGGCGGTGTAGAGTTGGACTACGTTAAAGGGTCCACAATCTCGTATGCATTTGATCTTTGTGCTGTCATTAAATGCAAGGGCTTACTGAACAGTTGAGTCCAACGTCTTTAATGGCAGTACTAAATCGGATGGCGTTAGATATGTTGTTGGGATAAAAAGGGGGCGTTTGGGGATATGTATTGTACTTTCATTCCAAATAACACAGTTCCCGACGGCTCTGTGACCCGAGTTCTGGAAGGCCTAAAGACGTCCACCGCAGTGTATGAGCATTCGGGATTAGATGACCTGTTGGAAGCGTGGACGACCTCTGTCTTTGGGCAATGGAAAGATTTTATTACGTATGTCAATTATGGTTTCTTTGTCTGTTTTCATTGCAGTATTAGTGACATGTGGGTGTTGTTGTGTGCCTTGTATCAGAGCCTTGTTCGTAAGACTCATCAATCGTGCTGTGGGAGAGTCTGATACAAAGGCCGACACCATGATGCCACTTTTGGGAAATGGGGAGTCACAGTATGAAAACATTATGGTGAAAGATTTAGTTTAGTTTTATCTGCCATGGAGCAGATAAAAAAGGGGGACTTGTAGGAATGTTTAGCTTATTTTAGAGTTTACAAATATGTTATCATAGAATGTAGAATTATTGTAGGGACACTGTTTGTAAAGTAATAAAGGCCTCACTCTCTTGTGAAGTTAGGAGTAGATTTTAGAAGGCTTCTCCCCCACTGAGTGGAAATTCCCCAGAGGATGCAAGGTAGGGGTTTATGACCTCTAGGGAGTCATCTACCCCCACAGTGTTTTAACTGTTACACACACACATCCACACGCACACTCACTCATGTGCACTCACACA